CAACCATTTTCACGTAGTCACATAGAAATGTCATATCAGCGAAAGTACGTGAGTAAGAGTTCTTGCCAAATATCTCTCCTAAAGTTCTCTGAACTCGGAACTTCGAATAATGTTAGGGTTCACAGCTCACAGTTTTCTTAGAAGGCTCACTTGGTTAACCACACTGTTCTGCACATGGATACAATTATCTCCTGGGTTTTATTCAGCTTTTTCATTTCGACACAGACAGTCAATAAGGCCCATTCCCGTTAATTAGCTTCACTCATTTGAAAATAATAATTTGCTCATGGGGGCAAGCGAAAAAGATATGCTTGCTTGTTACCGCGTTCCTGACTGTAAGAAGTTGTACTCTGTTCACTTAGAGAAACGTCATTTTAAATTACACAATTTATGATCACCCAAAAGTGACGCGAGTTGCTTACTAATTAGAGCGAAATGGTTAAAATTAAATTATTAGTTTCGCCTTTTTATGGTGAATGATTCAGTGTTTTAGGATGGGGTGATGTCGCCTCTTACGGCCATCCCACACAAGAATACACTGAAATAGATCGAATGGCTAAAGAAGGTACGAGGTTCACTCAGGCCTATTCGGCAGACAGTATGTGCAGTCCGAGCCGAGCCGGTTTCATGACTGGTAAGTGCAGGACTAAAAATCACTTTCCCTAGCAGAGCTATTTGGTTCGTTTTCCACGGTTTCGATTTCCAGGTCGATTACCGATTCGTCTCGGCGTTGTGGGCGGAAGACGAGTATTCATGCCGTTTGATATCGGAGGTCTACCGAAACATGAGACGACGATGGCCGAGATGCTCAAAGAAGCGGGTATGTTCGACGTCAGAAAGTATAATTAACCGCCATGTGAGACTAAAAAGAGATGCGCTGATGGAACTAGGACTAATGAAGTTCGCTTTGGTAAAAGTTGTGGAGATTTGCAGGAGCAAGTCTGGAACTCTAATTGGGAAGATGGAGGACGTTCCCCTTCATTCCCTGGCTCGGAGTTCAATTTTCCATCGATAATCAGAGAAATGTTCTGAATAAGCATGAGACCAGTAAATTTGCGAGAAGTATATGAAGGCCTGTATTCAGAGCGCCCAACAAGTCCACTGCTAAACAAAATATCTGATGAGTGGTTGAAGTTTTCCTGGTCTTGAGAGAATTCCCCAAAAAGAAAAGTAAGCCCACCAAGAAGTATGTATTAAATCCTATACAGCTCATCAGATCACTTTGTTACCAACGTAGATTTGACTTTTTCCGTCGTCATCTCTGAACAGGGGCTTTATATTTTGTGTATCCTCACCAAGAGGGGGGGTTCATGTTTGGCCGGTGGAGCATTGGGTAGTATTTGCCTTTGAGAAGGATGCGTGCAGATTCACTACCTTCGGTTTACAAATCTTACACTGGTGAAATCTCTGAACCTCACGAAATGGCTCTTTAGATTGGTCGATTCGTCGACGGGAAGTATCAAAAGTGCAATATGCCCACCCTCCCCCCTAGCCCAACTGCCCCCAAGGATGTTTGTTGTTTTACGTGTGCATTATGCCTCACACTACCATTATGCCGCACGGC